AAAAGAGCCTATTAGGAGAAAATAATTGTAAAAAACAGAAGTAATCAGGATGGCAGATGAAAAAAACAGGGGAAAAAGGCGGTCTGATGCCATTTAGAAAGTCACAGCCAAAATAAAAAGGAAAACAGCACGAAAGTTGAGCCGAGAAAGACCTAAATAACAAAAAACGAGGGAGTAAATTAACATTTTATGGAAAATAAAAGGAAGCGTCTTTAAAGAAAATAATGCAAACGATAGAGAGAAAATAATAGATAATTGATGAGTCATTTGAAATAATCTTCAAAGGCGAGATAATTGCAAATAACTTCTCAGACGAAACGTTCAATCAAAATTTATTATTTTTTAATTTGACTTTAAAATACATAGAAAAACCCCAAAGCAAATAAGAGTAGCGGTACGATTGGCCCACTCGACATCGTCAGTCGAACAGATGGATTAAGAGCAAGCAAGAGCTAGGAAATAATTATGATCAAGTGTAGGCTCAGATGACCTAAAGTTCCGAGTTTCTCTCGGTCGGCCAAATTGATCTGATTCAAGGCCCAAACATATCAATAGAACCAATGAAATACAAATAATTTAGTTTTCAAAATATCAGCAGCGTTTCAGTAAATTGTCTGTTCATAAAATAATATTTATATCGAAGTGTGTGGCAAACTCATGAAGTTCTAAGAATCGAAGAGAGTTCGTAATAAAAAAATTAATATGTCGTGAAATTTTATAAGTCATGCAATGGAAACGTAGATGAGCACAAGGCTGGAATGTAATTGAAAATCTAGCTTATTTGTCCGTTTACTACCAAATAAACGCATCAGCGAAATAAAATAAGGAAAATTAGAATAGCAAAATATGGCTTTAAAAGTCGAAACCTGAATATTATTTGATGGTAATGCTACATCGAATTATATGATTAATCGCATAAAATAACCATACAACAATCTAGAAGATAAATAATGATATGAAATATCTATTAAATTATTCATGTCAATACATCAAGTAAGAATTAAATTGATAAAAAGCTTTGGGAGCGTTTCCTAAGATAAAAATTACAAGAGTAACACACAAAAATAAGATATTCGCTTTGAAGCTGCTCCTTCAAGTCGTTTCTTGATTATATTAAGCTTACTCAACTATAAAATTAGAATCAAAATGGAGTAAAATATATTCAAATGGATGGATTAAAGCCTGATGGAATCACTCATTTAACTAGTGTTCATAGTATGGTTTATGAGGAAATGATTCAATTGACAGGGTTTCAGACAATTTAAAACTATTCTGATAAGCATACGCTTTCCATAGCTGAATTAGTTTTCGAAAAGTACAAAGGTTGATTTTGGCGATTTTCTCAAGAATATACGTAGCTTTTGGAGATCTCTTTAAAGGGTCGATTCAGTCATTAATTGAAAAATAGGATGAAGATAGAAAATAAGTTTCATATAATTAAACATAGAAGCTAAGTATAATCTTTTTAAGATTGTGGCTCGGTCCAAGATTTGCATTAGGGGCATATTGCCTTAAAACTAACTGAGTATGCATAAGAAGGAAAACAATGTCGTCTTGGAATTAATGAAGTGGGCAAATGATTCTACAAACAGAATATTGTAGGTAAAATTTAGATACGAAGAGTAGATCTATTTTGGTGAATCTCTTCAGATAACGTTGTTGGGGAGACTTTTATTTAGTAAGATTGTAAGTTCTATCTCCCTAGAAGACAATGACCAACGTGCAAAGGAATTAGTTAAATGTTTAGTGACCTATCCCTACACTCTTCCACTACAATGGTTAGTTTTGATACATCCCGTAAGTAACCATGACTACGCACGTGATGCAACAAAATTAAAGATTTTTGTGGGAAAGTGTAAGAATAAATCACAATTCTATATCTTTCCATCTATATACATTCTCGCTCTAAGTTATGAGTATATAGACGAGATAAGATAAAGCCGGACAATGCTCTTGATCTTGTATTAACCTTGAGACTTTTGCAGAAATGAGTTCTAGCTCTAAGGAAATCCATCATTTGATGGACGAAAACTCAGCTTGTTTTTACCTCAACTAGGATAGGATGTTTTGGGAACTAGGTAAATCTGAATGTCGTATTAAGGCCAAACGGCTGCAGTACAACGGGAATCAGCCGCCGTCTTCTGATGAAATTGACCTACGAATCTCTTCATTATGCACTTTTCCACGAAATGGAAGTCTCCCCAATAAGGTGAAATTCGAGAAAAAAATAAATTTCGTAATTGAAAATCACATTTCCTGAAGTTATAATAGCAGAGTTACTTTTAAATAAAGGTAAAATTATATTGGCACAGGAGCCTTACCCGTTCAGCTGTTTAGTGAAGTTATGAGGAGAAAGCCTAAGGCGCTAAAGGCGTATGGGAGGCGCAAAAGGTCAAAATACTTCCAGCCTGAGCATACACCGACTTCATTACTCCATAGGATTTTCCTTCTCCCAGTCAAAGCTGAATGGAGACGCCTCTGAATTCAAATCGTCGTTCAGCATTTCATGTAAACAAGGCGCAGTTCCATACCAACCATTGCCACCGGTGAGATTTTGCATCACAATTGAACAGGGACCCTGAAAATCTATGAGCGGATTGAAGTCGTTGGATTGAAAATGATCTGACGCAGTTGATGCAGGTACGACCGAGGTTTGAGAATTAGTCGATTCGCCAACTCGCGAAGCCTGAGAATGCGAAAGATAAGAGGCATTGGCAAGCGCTTTTTCTTCCGAAGCAACAGATTGAGCATTATCCCCAGCACGCAAGAAGTGAGTCCCTCCTTCAGTTAAGCTTGCTTCGGCAATAAAATGTTGACCGCTGGCCTCTTGTGACTGGATATGAACATAGTTGCCTTTTTGTTGCCCCTCGACCTCGTCAAACATTGGTGTCAACGGCGAGGCCGCAGCTGGAGAAGAAATAGCCAGATTCAATTTGGACGTTGGGGCATGCATCTCGGACAAAGAGCAAGTGTGAAGGACAGGCTTAGGTACAGCTCGGCCCTCGGAATTGACAGTATGATTCGTCGCGGACAATCCATCACATGTGGCTGACCCAAATGTGCCTATAAAAGCAACTGCTTCCGCGTCGGGGTCATGGGCACCATCAACTTCAAGGCATCTTGGAAAGAAGGCGGAAGGCTGAGATCTTTCCTTGTCGTAACTAGAACAAAAAAAGAGAGAACCATAGAGATTAGAAACTTTGTTGTTTGTTTTTCATCTTTCACACGAAATAAGAGTTATCGGACGTTGACAATAGAAATGTCTTAAACAAATTGAGCCGCGACTTAAGCTCCTTAAGTAAACAAATGAGCAACGATCTTTCGTAAAAGCTGTCGTGGGCGATCCAGATAGTGAACAACTTAATGCATGATATGCCTTAATATAAACTATGGAGTTCCATTATTCAAACCTTTTTGCAAGGTAAAAAATATGTATAAAATTACAATAATTCCTATCAAACTTAAAATAGCATTTCGACTCAGAATTAGTTCGAAAGTAAAAGCCCATTAAGCGACTGAAAATAATCAAAACTTATAATGGTGGCAAGCAGAAATCCTAGATGAATGTTTTCAAGTAATCTAAATTAGGATGTGCCGTAAAATTATCAAGAAGCAAAATAAAGTTTCATGATTTAAGTTGTAATCCACGTACCAAACGAATTCATGCACTCTTGTTGGCATATGGCTGAACTGGTACACTGTCTAATGTCAGTCCTTAAAGAATCGAAGCTCGGCGGTTTCTCTAATTATTAATAGCTCTTTTTTATCAGTTCCTGACATGTTTGAATAACAGCATGGTTATGCGATTCATTACTTTATTTTAACCCGAAAATGTTGCGCGCTTGTGGTAAAGATTGCCATCTAGTGTTGTACGATATAATAGGCATGTTGAATCGGCATTACAGACAGCATTTGCACAAAGTTTCTGGAGTAAGTTGTTAAATGGATTCAGCTTTCTATAGTTCTGTACTATCCTTTTCTCCAAG